CCCCCCCCCCCCCCCCCAAAACAAAACAAACCCAACAACATCCCAAACGAAAAAAGAGGGGATGCTGCCCTTTTTGGCAAAAAAGGCACTGTCCAGCACACAGCCGCAAACGGCCTCGTCAAACCGGTCTTCCTGCCTACTCTCTGTAATCACCAACAAAAATCCCAAGTCCCAGTCTCTCTCTCTCCCTTAATCTCACTCTCTGTTTCTCTTCCTTCAAAATAAAGAAAAAGTCCACCAAAAACAAAAGGACCCAACCTCAAAGCCACAAAGACCCATAATTCGAGCTATGATCACACCCATGAAGTGGGTACGAGGTGAAACTGTTGGACAGGAAAGCTTCAGCACAGTCAATCTTGCAATACCCACAAGCCAGAATCCTCAAATTCCACCATTGATGGCCATGAAATCTTGTGATGTTTCGCACTTTCCTCAAATCACTGCAATTTCAAGCCTCAAAATATCCTTTTATTTTCTTCAAGATGGTCATGAAGAAGTAGCAAAGATAGCTGATTTTGGGTTGGCAAAGAAAGCCAGAGCTAAAAAAGAGAATAATTTAGGGTGTGAACTGAGAGAAATGACTTTGTACATGTTGACCGCTCTGGTGCGACATTGTAGCGAGGGCTGCGGGTGGGACGATAGTTGGGAGCAATTTCTATTTGGTTGGAGAAGAAGAAGAATAAAGGTTGAAGAGTTTTCAGGGCTGATTTTTGGGGAAATTGTCAGTGTCTTAAATGGTTGCAGGAAGACGATGTCGTTGCAGGATAGGGGTAAGATCAGTTTGACAATGTCGTTTGTGGCTGTGTGCTGGACTGTGCATTTTGGCCAAAAACGGTGCCATTCCACCAAATAGCACCATGTGCTGTTAAACTCCAACAGCAGAGCAGCCACGCCCCATGTGAAATCACACAGTTTTTTAACTCAAAACCAAACCAAAAGCACGCTAGCTGTATTCACGCACTTAAAACCTAAAAATCAAACTATGAGCAATCAAAGTTTCACCAAGCTTTTCTGTACAAGATAGAAAAACTAAATGTAACCAAAAATAGTCACCCACACTCGGACAAGGTTATATAAGATCTTTTTAAAGATTTGTATTAGAAGAGAATAAAACAAGTGGCTAAATGCAGCATAAATTTATTTGTAATTTCTGAATTACTTAAAAGCGACAAAACCTTATTACAGAAATCTTGCAAGATAATCAGCAATAAGATAATTTTGGAAGAGGGAGAGATGGAGAGGGAGAGGAGGAAGAGAAGAGAGATTGAGAGCTCATTTGACCAATCATGGAAATTTGGAAATTAATGAGTTCAAATTTCTAAAATGTCAATTTAAGGTACTAATCCTATTAAAATATGGCCAACGCAGAAAATGAGGGTCATTTACATATCTAACAGTATAATGCAAAAGCTTCTTGATTTGTACCCATAAATTGAACCTACGACCACAGCACCTTAATATTTCTTTACGGATTTTTAATATGAATTGGTTCAATTCTCGAGTAAAAACCCTCAACTTCCAATCCATTGGGGGCAAAGCAATGGAAGAGAACAAGGTCAAATCATGAAATACCCACATGATCCACAAATACAAGTTTCTTAACCATTAAGGTTAGAAGAACAAAAAATAAGCATAAACATATATTAAATGGTAATCCCAAAAAATAGCTCACGTACTATACAAGCACATTGCTTTCATAGTCATAGAAGTTTAGCGCCACCTAGCTTGCTTTTCTAGAATAGCAACAATGTGTAAACTTCATAACCGAGGTTTCAACTTTGTAACAATCCTAAACACATCAAATCCAGCATTCTTAAGCATACAACAAAATCATGGACTCATTAATACAAATAACAACAACAAATCTAGAGAGATTAGCAGGAAGAAGCATATCAATCAAACACAACCCAAAAGAAATATTATGACACCATATAACAAAGACTAACAATCAAACCCAAACAAAATTTATAAGAGCTTTGAAGAAATTGATTGAAGCAATAAAAATTGCCTTACCTTCCAAGCCAGAGAAAACCCCAAATGATTTGCAAGAAAACTGCCCAATACCCAGCAAACAAAACAAAGCAAAGCGGCCAAAGAACCAGCTTTCTTATCCAAAAGGACATAGAACAAAGCATATATCAAAGTGAAGAAGAACCCGAAATTCAGAACCAAGCCATGTTTGCAGCACAAACCAATTTGAGAGAGATTGAAAATTGGAGGTGTGAAATAGAAAAGAACAAGAGAGGTAAAGAAAATTGGCCACACAAACACCATATGAATAAAAATGTTTACTGGGTTGCTGTGGTATGCCCCATAGAAGGCGAAGTGCTTCTCAAGGTCAAGTAATCCGGTCTTTCCCATCAAATTTTCTCGGGAAAATGATCGGTTTTTGGGCGAGAAAATTTATAACTTTTCTGGGTAGATTTTGAGAAAGTTGGAGGAGAAAGGGTGTGTGCAGTTTTTTTTTGAGAATAAAGGGTGTGTGCAGTTGAAGAATCGAAGACCGCAGAACAAAGGCGGAGTATGCAAAGATATATATAACAAAAAGAGCGATCAAATCAGGGACTAATCCATCGGAATTTTTTTTTTTTTTTGGGGGTCAGAAATCCATTGGCTTCTTCTGTGCTTACTTTTTCGACACAATATTGTCTATGGGCGTTTAGTTGCTAACGTGCGCGGGTTTGAAGACTGTTAACCTGCGCATACGGTGCCTTTGATTTTGAAGTTTGAGCCGATTCTAGAAGTGGATGTTTTGTTTGGGCTCCGTTAAAGAAAAAATTGATCGAAAGTAAAAATAATAATAATATAAAATATTCTTATTTATTAAAAAGTAATAAATATATTTTTGCTTTATTTATTTGATTAGTTTGAAAATTTTATAAAAAAAAAGTTTTAGAAATCTTTATTCTGTTTTTGAAAAAGTAGAAAAATTACAAGAAAATATTCTTAATTGCTTAAGTTATTCTTAACAATATTAAATTTGACTAAATAATTAAAACAAAAATACTTATTATAACAACAAATCAAAAAATAACTAAAGTGCCTCCCTGGCTAGTTCTAGAATGAAACAAAGTAAACCTATTCCCAAAATTTTAACTAGATGGACTTGGATTGATAAACCAAAATTATAAAATTTAAATAAAATTAAAAAAATTACAATCTAAATGTATATTATTTCCTGAATGAGTGGGTCTTATCAATTTTTTCAATAAGGCTCACTCATCTCATACTCATTCAAGAGATAATATGCACTTGAATTTGAATTTTTGAATTTCATTTAAATTATGTAACATTTTTCAAACTAATACAACCATAATCATTGAAACTTATCTAGTGACACCAATAACTAATACAGCTTGTTGGATTAAGATTCTCTTTATACTCCTAAATCATCCCAATTAGTAGTGTAAATGAACAAAATTGTGCCGAACAATAAACTATTCCTATTCAACTTGTTCATAAACGTGTTCAAGATTTGTTCCTAGTTTTAACCATGTTAAAATTTTCTTCTAAAGGCAGATTCGATTTGTCTAAATAAACGAACATATCCAAAATTGAGCTTAGATTTAAGTTTAAATTCGACCACAGATGTTTGGTCATTGAAAATTTCCTCGTTAATACTCCCTTTGTTGTAGTGGTTCATGATTTAGCTCGATTTTTTTATATAATATATAGTAAGTTTAATGTGGGTTAGATACGACCTCAGTGTCAATTAGACTGATTTTTATTGTGAATTTTTTTACTTAGTTTTAAAAAATTTAATTTCAAAAAATTTCATATACCTTCCTAATAGGAGTAGAATTACAATTAATATATCATTGAAATTTTCAATTTAGTCGATATGCATATTTGTTAGGTTTTAGCATTTAGTTCTAGGTTTTTTTGAGTGGTGACCATTAAATCATGGTCTAACGATTCGTATAAAAAGTATATGCTAGAAGTTATGGTATAGAATTTTCATGATTATGCTACTCTATATATATATCAAGCCATATCAAGGTATCTATCGAACTCAACTCATTTATTAAACGAACTTCATAATCAAACTCTAAATTGATTCGATAAATGGATTAGTCATAATGAACTTTATTTTATTGATTATGAATTTAATCCTCTTTATAACTGATGATGCACAAATTGGTTTGCACACCACTAATCAGGTATATAGAATAAAATACAATAAAATAAGTAGGTGGAGAGAGGAAACAAGGTTATAATGGTTCGGTCAACAAAACCTACGTCCACTTTTAATGGCTAAGTTCACTGGGAAGTTTACTAGCTTCGGTGTGTTGGGAGAATAGAGAATTACAAGAGAGAAGAGATAAGCTTGATTTTTTTAGATGCCCCCCCCCCAAGTGTTGGGGGAGCTTACAATTTATAGAAGCCTGCGTAGTAATTTAGTAGCTTGACGGTTATAACGGATTTGAGGCAACTTAATAACTGATGACCTCTCATCTTCTTGACGACCTCTCCTCTTTTTGGTGATCTTTCCTCTCCTTGACGACCTTTCCTCTTCCTCAACGGGCAAATGTATAGCTCCTGGATGCTCCTGTAGCTCCCTGATGGGCTTGACCATCTTGGACCTCATAGTGCTTGCTTGGTTTTCTATAAGCTTGAGCTTTTTCCCATGGATTGAGCTATTTGGACTTGACCCATCATTTTCCCCCCAATGTCCTATGTCCAATGAAATTTAGAGAAATGGGCATTCAACTGAATCTGAATGTTGACCCAAGAATACTCCTCACTTGCTACGTCCATGTTGCGCTATGACAGCAGGGATTGACCTGCCCGGATAGGTTGCGGGGTTCCACCTGCCAGGTCAGGTGGCGAGGGCTCGGGGGTAGCGCCACCGGACCTTCAAACGGTTTTCTGAATCAGACACCAAGGCTCTATCTCCATTCTTGATGTAGTTTGCCTTGCTAAAGACCTCAAATCTTTTTCATTTTTACTTGGATTTTTAAGAGAACCACTGGTTTTTAATTTGGGCTTTTCCCTCTTTGTAAACCCTAAGCTATAAATAGGAGCCTCCCCTTTTATTCTGCCCACTTCAAACAACCTTGAGGGAGGATGAGAGCTTTTTCTTGGAATCCTTGAGAACCCAGATCCCATCCTTCCCATAGAAGCTTTAGTGAAGGAGAGTGCTCTTCTTGAGATTTCTTGGAGACCCAAGGTTTGTGGTTCTTTGGGTTTGGGTATTTTAATCAATGGTGGCTAGTGGAGAGGATGTTCAGAAGTGTTCAAACCTTGGTGGGCAAGTCGAAGATGGTGGAGGTGTCCGTGGAGATGGGTTGGAGGCGTCTGGCTCTAGGGAGGTGGAGCTGTGGGGTGCCTCTGTTGTTCACGCAAGGAGCTTGCAGCACTCGCTGCTGGGCAAGGCAAGGAAAAGTCTGGGTGCCCATTTCGATGCTGGCTTTATTGGTTTTGGAGAGCAGGAAGGCAGGCATGACGTTGGCGAGGTTGGGCGCGCGCCTGTTATGCGCGCAATGGAGGTTTTGGGTGCTGAGCAGGCTGATTTCTTCATTGGGCACGCATCTGCTGTGTGCGCAATGAAAGTTTTGGGCGCTGAATAGGCTGATTTCAGTGCTGAGCAAGCTGTTTCGGGCGAGCATAGCACTGATTTTGGTGCTGAGCGCGCACTTGTTGTACTGCTGAACGAAAGGGAGACTAATCTGGATGAGCAGCCTGCTGTGTTGGACAGCCTGGGTGAGTAGCCTGCTGCACTGGGCAAACTGAGCGAGCAGCTTGCTACGCTGAGCAGACCTGGCAAGCAGCCTGCCGCGCTGGACAGCCTGTTCGAGTTTTTCCAAGCGTAGCTTCTCAAAATCATTTTCCTAGAGACCTTTCTAACTCGAA